TCAGCGGGAAGTGGAATTGGGGGGCTAGACATCCTGGACAGTCCAAGCCCGCTGACGTCCCTGGGTGTTGCTGTCGCTGCTACAGCCATCGCAGCCACCCTCCTCGCACCCCTCGACATGGTGCGCACACGCCTCATCATCACCCCCATCTCATCCTCTCCACGATCTATATACCCATGTCTTTCCCTTCTGCCCTCTTTCTCCGTCGCCCCCAGCCTCCTCCCAGCTACCATAATGCACGCCTGCGTCCCCACTCTCATTTCCTCCTCAACACCGCTCTTCCTCCGTTCAACGCTAAGCATCGACCCTATCCTTACCCCGACCACCTACTCCTTCAGCACTTTCCTCTCCTCCATATCCGAGCTCTTCATCCGCCTCCCTCTCGAGACCGTCCTTCGCCGCGGCCAGGTCGCCGCACTCCAGGACCACGAAACCCAGCGTCTGGCATCCGAGTACCAGGCCCCACCCAGCCGTGCTAAGAGCCCAGCGTATGGTCTGGACAAACCAAGCTCCTCTGACCAGAGCTTCAAGACTATCGTGGAGCCGGGTCAGTACAGGGGTGTGCTGGGTACCATGTGGTTTATCGCCCGTGAAGAAGGCATCAGTGTTTCTACACCGAATGCTGCTAAGGCGGCGAGTGCAAAGGCGATGGGTTTCTCTAGGCCGCCGCGTACAAGGAAGGGTCAGGGTATGCATGGGTTGTGGCGTGGATGGAGAGTGGGTGTTTGGGGGCTGGTGGGGATTTGGGGTGCTGCTGCTCTTGGAGGTGGCGGCGGCGAGTTCTAGACTGTGATATTGCAAGTTAAGCAGTAGACACTTGAGCGATGATGTTATTTGGTAGATTATGTTGTTTTGTCATGATGTTCGTATGCGCATGTTGGGCGATGCTATATACACCACTCTTAGCTGATGTTGAACGATTAATTTCCGTTCACCCAACTTATTATTTCATTTTCGAATTCTTGCATCATATCATCTCATTCAATACATCTACCCGCCATGCTATGGCTGTTCAGCCCAACCAGATAGAGTGGTAGGCTGGTTTTTTCCTTTGTAATAACTAACAACGGTATCTGGAAGTGGAAAGTCCGACAGCGCACGGCATGCCAACTCACCAAAGCGGGTCGACTGCACCACGTGAACGTCACAAACGCAATACAAAGCTGTTAAAGACCCTCTCACGGAAATATGCTATCGTTGCGTCGCACCAAAGCCCAGCACGTAGAGGAGTGCCCAGGACCCCGATGGTATTGCGTGTCTTACTTGGTCTAGCCTAAAGGAGTCTAGCGGTTCCCTTACGTAGAAGTACCGTACCACCTCACTTCTTATCAGCCACCACCACGTGTTGATTGTGAGTGTCAGCTTTGGTTGGCTCTTCAACTTTGGTTCGCCTCAAAAATTGTTGCCAGAGGAAGTTTCGACACGTGGACCCCCATCATTCATATATCCACGCCTGGGAAAATCCACCATGATGTCACACCCCTCTTCACTTCCAATCAGCCCAGCCAACATTGATGCACTCTCAACTGTGACCTCGAAGTTTGATTTGAGTAGCGAAACAGTCAGGACTGCACAACGCGCCGCTATCACAGAGATGAGTGTTTTGGAAACAATTCCATCGATTCGCCCTATGAGTCTTCAGTCAGCAAGTCGCTTGCTCTCACTGCCCTCAGAACTACGCCTAATAATATGCCATTACATGTATATCTCACCAGAGCTTGGCGTCGACTTCCTTGGAGCATTCTACAGCTGTAGACAGCTGCAGAAAGATATGTTGGACGAACTTAGCCCTGCCTTCGATCTCGACAACGACGTCAACGAGCACGCAGAACCCTGTCGCCACGAGCCAAGCATGTTTGTCCGTGTGGTACCATTCGCGCCCCGATTCTATATCCTACGATATGTGACAGTATTTGTACGAGTACCGCGCAAGGATATAAGATTGCGCTGTTGCTATAATTCAGTCGCTGGGCTCTTCCCTCTCTATCTGAACGAACTCAATGTGAGACTAGTTCTTCGCAACTATGTAGGTGACTACGGCAAAAAGCTTGTTCACGGAGATTTGAAGTCATGGCCAAATCGCCTTCTCCTGAATTATGTGGTGGAAGGCAAAGTGAACTGCAGAAAGATAAGGTTCAGCCATCCTGGTTTACAGAAAGAGAATGACGAAAGCGACAAGACAACGCAGCTCGAAAATATCATCATACCAGGCACAACAATCTTGTACAGCATGCACATTACGGAGGATAAGGCGGGTGCCCAGACTGAGAGAACATCCCTGAGTGACGTGCGGTTCCGCCCAACGACAGAGGGATCAGGGGGCGCAGTGGCCACGCGCTGAACGGCATGGATTCCAGGAGTTCCATCAATGAGAATATCGGATACAACGAAAGCGAGGCGCTCGCGTTCGGCTCACTACCCGAGCGTGCTGGTCGAACCCGAGGAAAAGAGACCCAGCCAAACGGAGTGTTTCCTTGCAAATTGACATGAACTGGGTTACATGTCACAACTAGCTGTTCCTTGAACAGCCCCACTCCGTTCCCTTCTCTTGCTAGATGAAACGCATTGCAGTGAAATTTTCTGCCTTATCGCGTATCTAACGTATCGAACACTCATGCACCGCAGATTGTGTACCACACCTGGGCAACACAAGGAAACGCTATCCGGACGTTGCAATCAAATTTCCGGCTTGTCACGCCACAAGAGACTCCAACAGTTCTCACAGAATCTCACAGAATCTCACATACCTTGGCACCTGTCAGCGGGTCTATCGCGGTCACTCTCTGCACGATCTGATATCGTTTGCGCGCAACTCCCGACGTCCATATTCCGCTCCACTAGCGGGTCCGACATGGTGGCAACGACGGCGGTCGCGCAAACTTTCCACACGGCATGCTAGGCATCGGCATCGGGTGGAGCTGGTGTTGACAGACAGCGGCCCGTACGTTACGAAGTATAACCACCGGCACTCAACTCCTGGTCCGTGCACGAAACCACCGAATCACAGCCATGGAATTCCTCTTTCTAACACTTTTCTGGACGAAATGGGCGTCAAGTGTTTCTAAACGAAACGGCGCTACGCCTGTCAAGCATTCCACACAGGAGACCAGTGTTTCGCCACATCGCGGACTGCAATGAAGTGTCAGTAAACGACCTTGGCAGGACCCGTAGAAATCACATCCGCATTGACTTTACTTTCCGAACCAGCAGCTTCCGTGCCTCCTTTCAATGAGTCGCATGTTTTCACAAGCGCTGCTACGCTTAGAACGGCCTAAGGATCACGGTCATGTCCACTTCCCAAGAGATCCAGAACACCCACAATCACGGAAGGAAGACTGTAGTTGTCGATGAAACCTGCATCCTATCTCCTGGAATACCTACAACGGGAAATTGTCGTCCGTTGGGAACCAGGTCACCGGTGTCTAGGCGCCTGGCTTGCATGAAGATGTTTGGTACAATGCGTGGAGGACTTTTGATATAAGAACCAGGACGACCGTCCAACATCTACAACTCACCAGCAAGCAATACATTCGTTTCAATCGCTTTCTACACTCGCTTTTCAGCACTTTACATTCGTTCCTTCACTTCTTTTTACCAATTACTACACAAGTTTCATTACTGCTAGCCAGAATGAAGTTCTCCGCCTCCGCCATCGTTCTCAGCGCCGTCGCCCAAGTGGCCACCGCCCACTACTTCTTTGACACCAACCTCATTGGTGGTGTTGCCCAGCCGCAGTTCAAATACGTCCGCCCTTCCACTCGCAAGGTCGCGTACAACCCCATCAAGTTCTCCTCCAACCCGGCCGCCGACATCCGTGATGGCTCCACCGCCGACGGTCCCGACATCGTCTGCAACCAGGGTGCCGCTAAGACTGGTGGCAAGGTCCAGGTCCTGACCGTCAAGGCCGGCGACGACGTTACCGCCAAGCTCGGTGTTGGTGCCAAGTTCCAGCACCCGGGCCCTGCCCTGGTCTACATGTCCGCTGCTCCCGGCAGCGTCCAGTCTTACGACGGATCTGGCGACTGGTTCAAGATCTTCGATGAGGGTGACTGCGGCAGCGGTGACTTCACCAGCAACTCCTGGTGCACCTACAACAAGGACACTGTCACTGCCACCATCCCCAAGGACACTCCCGACGGCGAGTACCTCGTCCGCTTCGAGCACATTGGTGTTCACCGCTCCCACGTCAACCAGCCCGAGCACTACGTCTCCTGCATGCAGGTCAAGGTTACTGGCGGTGGTAGCGGCAAGCCTGGCCCCATGGTCAAGTTCCCCGGTGCTTACAAGGCCACCGACCCCTACGCCAATTTCAGCATCTACAACGGCCGCAAGGCCTTCCCCATGCCCGGCCCTGCTGTCTGGAAGGGTGGTGCTGCCGCTGGTGGCTCTTCCTCTGCTCCCGCCAAGGAGGAGGTCTCCCCTGCCCCTGCCGCCCCCGCTGCCCCTGCTAAGTCCACCATGGCCACTGTCGTCGCTCCTGCTCCTGCTGCCCCTACCAAGGAGGCTGCCCCCGCTGCTGGCTGCGCTTCCATGTACGGACAGTGCGGTGGCAAGGGCTTCACCGGTGCTAAGTGCTGCGCCAAGGGTAGCTGCAAGGCTGCCAACGACTGGTACTCCCAGTGTGTCTAAGAAGCTAGCTCGTGTGCTAGGATTTACTCGGAGATTTGTGTATACTTCCCCTTCTTTGTGTCTATAAGCGAGGCGTTGCATTAGTGAGCCTCTGTTTTCTTGGGCACGGGTTCTCCAGTAGAACACCCCTTTAACTTTCTGCTTGCCTGGTGGATGTGGTTCAATCTTGTATCATAGCAATATCACATCATTAGTCTTTATTCCAGATTCCCTTTTCCTGTGCATTTTTCGTATGAGAGTGAATAAGAATACTGAAGACAGGTGTACAGTAATGTAAAGCTTCTTTCCATCTCTATCGCCATCTGCCCAAATTATGGGCCTTGGTATTCAGCAAAACCTGAAACGATAGAAACATGCATTAATGTCACTATTCAGAACTCGAATGGTTGACCATTAATCGACAAAGGATCCCAGTGGATTTGCATCAGTTTCAACTTTTCTTTCCAGTCTGCTTGGTCCTTGGGAAGATCATGCGCATTTTCGATGCGATCTAGTATCTCCTCGTACAGTTCAGCTGGTAGTCGTCGACCAAAAGCCAGGTTGAGATTCCGTCGATACTCTCGCCGCAAATCGCGCGACACGAGTGGTAACAAGGCATTGATGAGAGGTCCCTGGAAATGGAGGGCATTCATACCTGACAAGGACATATCAAATTAGTTGATGTGATTACGTGTTTAAGTTGATATCTTACCGAATGTTTCACCCGTGATGAAATAGTTTAGATAGAGAAACGCATGGGCACAGTCCAGCGGGCGTTCTGGATACGGCTCGGCTCTGGGCTCCTGGCTCAGTAGAATTTGGAGGAATGCCTCTATTTCATCGACCGGCACGGAGCGCTCGAACAAGTTCAGTCGCGCTCTTCCCAAAACGTCCATGCGCAATATGAGAGCAAGTGGAAATGCTCTGACATTGCCGCGCGGTACCTGGGCCATTCGCTTCAACTCGAGACAAACGCGTGATGTAAAACGCGCTATGGGGATGTCGACGTTTGGGCTGAGTCTGTAACCTGCGAACCATGCGTAGTCGTCGTCGTCAAAATTAGAGTCCAAATCGTCTGAATCACTGACTTCTGATGCTAAGTCCCAGTCATCGCCAAAATAGGTATCGATAACATCCACAGCAGAGCCCAGGGATTTATGACGTCCAGGGGTATCGAGCCTTTTCATGACAGCGATCCAAAACGACGCAGCCATTTTATCTTCGCCTTTGTTTGAGAGATGTTCGTATTGAACAAGGCTGATTCTTACACCGAAACTGGCGAACAGGAGTTGAGACTCCAAATAAAGAGCCCAGCTTTTGAGTTGGAGTGGGGTCCAGTGAGACACCGGCGCATCTTCTTCTAGTGGGTTTTCTGATCATAGCGATAAGCACATATCCAATATCTTCGTAGGGCAAAGCTTTCCAACATACCCTTGCTTGTTAGAGGCGAATCGGCCTCCCAATACCGCTCTCTGGCAAGATCCCGGACTTTGCCGGAAGCTCCTCCTTGGGTCTTGAGATCTGTACAGAGTTGTTCCAGCTCAAGCACGAGCTCGTGTGTAATGTATCGCAATCTGACATGGTGAGCACACTTGCGCACCGTCTTCCACCGATCAAGCAATTGCGATTTGTCACTCGTGTCTCCGAGCTCTTTGCATACCCTCACAAGGTCTTTCAGTGTGCGCGTCTTTCGCGTCTTTGGTGTCTTGCTATGAGAACCGCGTCTTTTGCGTTTGCCGTTACCTTTGCTAGACAATTCGGCGGTTTGAGCTGAAACAGACGTAGTAGTAGGAATACCACCCGCGCTGGCGAGACGTGCCCGATTAGCTTGGATGAGTGCCGATAGTGAAGCGTGAAAAGCCTCGAGTCTCCCGGTGCCCGATGGTACGTTCGTAGATGAGCTGGCTTGCATCGTGATCGCGAAGTGGTATATATATTATGAATGTTTCAGGTGTGTTGAGCTGCGCGTGCGGGTCTCAAACGTAAGCTTAGTATGGGAGAAGATAGAGATCAAAACTCGTAAAGAGTAGCCGCAAACATCGTGGATAAGGCCGTCTTATGACTGGAGAGACATGTCGGATACGATTACTGTGCCGCAGTGCTGAATGCATGCTAGGCTACAATAGGCAATCCCTTGTTGCCCAACCCCGGTCCCCGCGGATGTCGACATGCGATTAGGTGGCTACCAATTGAGCTTCATACCACGGCAGACTTCATCTGATGGTGTTTTGATTGTGAAGTGATGATGTGAAGAACCATCAGTTGGGGAAGCGCGCCGGAGGATAGCCTTGCTGGCACGTGCCAGGGTGTGACGTCACAACTCCCGAGGTCTAGTCCATCGAGAACACGCGCCCGCCAACAGCTGGGGCATCCGCATCACTCCGGGTATGTCGAATGGATTTCCATTCTCATTCAATCTCAAATCTGTTGCCCATTACGACCGACAGCAAATGGCCTCATACTCGAGGACTACTGAGATGCGGTAGTGTCGGCGATCGCGAGATCCCACAGCCCATACATTACCGGGAGTGCAGATACCAAAAAGTCAAGTCAATACATCAGAAGCAGAACGTAATTGCTGATCGCACGTATTGCCCCACTGTTGACCCATTTCGCCTTCTGCTAATGTAAATCCTCTTTTGCCTTCGCTACCTAGGGACGAGGTCGTTTCCCGCCTGTTGTTCAATGCGAAACCAGTGAAATTCGGCGGAGCCCTGGAGTGCGTGGTGCCTGGGTCCTGCCCTAGGCTGCTACACAGCTAGCTAGCCATAAACACTACAACAGTTTCCCGAAAGAGAACATCGATGCAAGAGCGCAGATAATCTTACTCTTCCACCACATAATGTCAACCCATAGTGTGTCCTCAGTGGCTATCACGGATTCCCCTTTTCACGGTCGCAATGTGCCTCACGCCAACACGGACGTGAAAGCCGCTTCATTACTAGGCTTACCAGCCGAGCTACGCCTCAGAAGGTACGCCGAGATGTCGCCTCCACTCAACGGCCATATCGCAGACTACCAATCTCTTATTCTCTCTTGCAAAGCGCTCCACGATGAAGCCGAAACCGAGATCGTCCGAAACATGCAGCGCTTCCTCAAAGACGTAATGAGTACGTGGGACAAAACTCATGATGCACCGCTCCGCATCAAAATGCCCACTCAAATCGACCAGATCACACATGTCGAGATCGCGATTCCTACGTCAACCCTGGACATTCCGGACATGTTTGCAAAGTTTCCAGCCGCTTTCGCGCTCTTGCCTCGCTTGTATATCGCTTGTCTCACGTTCTCATTCTACGAAGATGAGGACAGCTGGAAGGACATCACCTTACCTGCTACTCAAGAACGTCTCCGAGGATATTTCCTATTGGAAACTTGTGTGTCGAATATGATGGCCAAAGACATGAACCTCTACCTCGACGACGATACCGAGTCACCTCACGCTCCCGGGAGCAATTTCGATGCAATGAGACTTCTCTCTAGAAACGATCTCGAGTTAGTTACAAGTGCCATCCTCTCCAAGAGGGTCATACATGGACATTCGGGAGACTATGCGCGTTGGTACCTTATGAGATCCCCAGCTTCTCCGGGACACATTGGTCTTCTCTGGAAAAGGATACGGCCTCGAACGTCTTATCCAGTATCGCAAGAGAATCTTGGCTCTGTCCGCAGTTCTATGTGTGATCAGCAGTCTACGCACGGACTCGATGTGTGACACAACAGTGTATGCTACGTCTGGCTAGCACATATAAGACAAGGGAAGCGAGTGCCTAGGCGAGTACGTTTTTGTCTATAGCCTAATGGAAACATCGTAAGCAAACAACATGGAATACCACAGTATTGTTAATGCTGCTAGCTTCGTTACGGCCCCTCAGATTCCGAATACGCGCTGTGTTTGTGGCAGACGTTGTGCGTAGACAAAAGTAGTTTGAGCGTATGGAACATAACATCGCGGTATGAATCAGCTTCTGCTCTTCTCCGACTTGACCTCCAGAGCATACTTACAGCATCACGCTACGAGCAATAATTGACTAAGTGCTCAAGAATACTATGGACGCGGAAGACCCAAGCGAGCCTGGCGTTAGCAGTCGCTCTGTGCTTGCAATTGATCGACCCACCGAGAAGCTGGACATAGCGGGTCATACTCGACCCCTCGGCAGTGAGTCAGCTTGGAAGGATAGCTCACCTGCTACGAAAGGTACGACACAGTCTGCTGGGAACCTCATTAACATCACCGAGCTGTTAAGCCTCTCGTGCTTCCAGATAACCGCCACAGGAAAACCTCACTAGTGAAATCGCCTGACTTAAACGTTGGTAGCGAAGGCCCATGAAGCATACTATACTGAAATACATGCAACAAACAGAGGCATGTAGCCGAGATAGTGGTCCAGAGCTTCTGGCTTGAATGACATGTGAAGATCAGTCTTGCCGAAACCGTTGATTGATGAAAGCCGTGACCGTCTATGACTGCTCCGCTCATGAGCTCGGGAGCAGCGTACCCGACGGTAGCGCCGCGGATCTGTAATTGTCAGAGCTCTGGAGCGAATGAACCTTAATTACCCGGCAATATCTCCAGCTGCAACTGACACAGTAAGCAAGGTGCACATTGTGATAAGCAGCCAGGTATGGCAGGTCGGTAATAAAGTTGACGGATGTGGGCATGCAAGTCTTGTCGTGCGACATAGCGTGCGCGAATGGCCGCGCGCACGGAAGCGGGGCATCTCCTCCAAGCGACGGCGCTTTCCCGGGTCGATCATCACAAATAGTATATGACGGCCCCTGTGTTGACATGGGATGCCGTTCATCGCCCCTTGCTTCTGCTTCGGTCATACCTACTATGGCAGACACAAGCCAAGAGGCCGAACCTCACAGCCTTTTCACCTTTTCACATGTCGCCACTGCAGCAATCACCTACCTGATCGTCGCAAGTGCTTACCACTTCCTCACAGCACCATCACCACCATCGGACATACCATGGATGGGCTACGGCAAAGGCTGGATCGCCGACTTTCGCAACTTTACTGCACTGACGAAGAGCAAAGAATGGTTGTTGGCTGGGTACAACAAATACAGCCGCGACGGCAAGATCTTTGTGTTACCCGCGACGCTTGGCATGCAGGCTGAGATTGTCATGCCTCAAAGTCAAATGCGCTGGATGTTTGATCAACCAGATTCTGTACTGAGTGCGCATCAAGCGCATTACGATTCCCTGCAGGGCGACTATTCGTTCATCAACCCTTACATCTTGAAAGATGCTTACCATGAACATGTCCTTCACAAGAGCCTTTTTCGAAATCTCACTGCGATCATACCGGGTCTCGAAGAAGAAGTGCCACGAACGATTGCCGACATTTACGGAACAGATACAGAAAATTGGAAAAAGTTGGACGTCCTGGAGTCTTTCATGGAGATGATTCCCGTATTGACCAACCGCATGCTTCTTGGAGAGTCACTGTGTCACGAGAAGAAATTCTTAGAAGCGGTACTGAGCTACACCAAAGACGTCATTCGCAATCAGGCTATCATGTTTCTTGTCCCAAAGGCGCTGCACCCCATCGTGGGAACGGTCTTAAGTCTGCCTGTTAAGTACCACTACTGGCTGTCTTCGAAGTTCACAATACCCATGATCAAGCAACGTATCTCGGATTTCGAGAAGAAAGATGCCGGAGACCCTGAATACAAGAGTTGGAAGGAGCCGAATGACTTCATCACATGGAGCTACCGAGTTGCGCAGGCCGAGGGACGACCCGAGGAGATGCAACCCGACCGCATCGCTAAGCGCGTCTTGCCCCTCAACTTCGCCAGCATACACACGACGTCGATTACCGCCTTTGAAACCATTGTCTGCATACTAGGCTGTGAGCCAGAAGTTGTCGAACAGTTGCGCGAAGAAGCG